GCTCCTATACGGATGAAGTATTTGTCACCATAACTTGCATGATTGTCGTGGACGACGTAGAGTAGCATGGATTTTCACACAGATTGATCCTTGATCGGCTCACGCTATGTGGCGTAAGTGGGGAGGATCCATCACTTGAAGCATCATCATCTTCCTTCATAGCAGAGTGCTTGGATCCGGAGAGGTCAAGCAGAGCAAGAGTTTTCTTGATCTTTTCAGCAACATCTCTTCCTCCTTCAGATGCGTTTGTGGAAGATCTTGCTCCTTTTGAGGATGAAGATCCGAAAACAGGGGTTGACGCAGACGGCACTTGGGGTGCTTGTTGTCCTAAAGAGCTTGCTTTGCTCCTCGTAACTGGTCGGAAGCTTCCAAAGGTAACATCGTGGATGCTTTCCACATCAGCATAGAACCTGGAGTTAGCAGCTTTGGTGGAAGTTGAAACAGAGTTGATTTTCTTTGAAGCCATTTCAATATTCTTGAACTTTGGTGATTGAAAAGTTGAGATGAGAGGTAGAGATTGTCCCACTGGGCGTGCCAGAATTTGTAGACAATAAATTTTCCTCAAGAAAATAAAATCAAGACCGAAAATATCGCAACAATCGTAGTATTTTATTTTAAATATTTGAGTGTTACAATCTCTATGATTCCTCTGATTCTTCATTCCAATGGTAAATAAATTCAAGGGCCTTTGAGCTTGATCTTGAATATGTATTTGTTTCCACGAACGATGATCTTGTTCTTGAGCTTGAGCTTGAGTTTGGTTTCTTGAACTTGATCTTGATTCGTTCTTTGTTCTTGAGTTTTTACTTGATTTCTTGAACTTGAACTTGATTGCTTGAAGCTTGAAACTTGTAGAGAAATTTACGGCGTTTGTTCCACGAGTCTCTCTTGCTTCTTGTTATAACTTCTGGTGTCTTTTCTGAGTTATGAAGACCCCTATTTATAGTTGTGGAAGGGAAGAGTCATGATAAGAACAAACTCTTTCCGACCAATCAAATTGAAGTGTGACATGGCCGCATTTGATTGGCCAGAACATGTCACTTGCACACGTGGCGCGATTTCCTTGGCCTTTTAGTGTGACTGGGCATGCCCTGTCATTTTGACATGTGGCATGATCCTATTGGCTATTCCGTTTGACTTGGCGTGCCACGTCATTTGACACGTGGCACCAAACTGGGCCTCTAGGAAGATGGCATCTTGGGCTTAATGAAGCGGACTCATCACTTTTAGCCCAATTAAATGGGCTAGCCCAATGGATTAAGACTTATTTATTTAATCCATATATTGGACTTATATCATTAATTTAATTATATTAGCCCATAATATTTATTTGGACCAATATTATCTCGAATTTAAAATATAATCCAAATTATTTTATGGATTTAATTTTAAGTAAAATTTATATGCCTACAGAAAGACAAAAAAATCATTAGTGAATCTTGTTAGGGATATAGTAGATATGCCCTAGATTCAATCTCATATTTGGTGATTTGACATATTTTTATGAAATTTAATATGATTATATATTGACATGAACGCATAGTTGGTCGCTTATTAGGATTTGACAGTTGAACCATATCGTAGGGTGACTCAGAGCTATAAGGTAGAAGGAAATACTATATTATTCTTCTACGGTTTCTTGAGAGTAAGTTGTATACTTCATACTATCCGGACGTTAAAGAGTGTTGCTCGACGCCACCCTTGATTAGTATATTAATTTAGTTAATTTACTATCGGTTTAGTATTTAACCTATGAGGTCACACACAAACGAGTATTATAATCTTTGCTAAAGGATAAATTAATTTATTATTTGATAACTAAATTATAGAATTTAATTAGTCAAATATATAAAGTTTTAATCCAAATGTAATATTATTATATTCTTTGCTAGCACAGAGGATATAATTAATATTGTGAACAAATTGAAATTTTCTATTTGAAATAGAAAATTAAATTATATCTCTTGGTTAATATATGAGATATATATTTAGTACTCTTAATTAATATTTATATATAAGGTTGTATATTTAATATATTAATTTATTCTTACAATCCAATTTTGAATTGGACATGGAATTCCATAAAGGATTTTCTACGATTTTAGTAGGACATGGAAATTAAAAGTCCATAAAAGGACGTCCGACAACTCAAACTGTGTTTCCTGGTTTTCAATAGAAAATTCCAATGTTTGGAATTGGACTTCATGGAAAGTACATGAGATGAAACTCGACAGCCACGTTACCCATTGAGAATGGAATTACTAATTTTCATACAAAATTCGATGAGTTATTTTTTGGAATAAACTTTTACCCTAAGTAAATCATTACCTCAACCAAACAATATTTTTTTTATAGGTGATGTTATATAAAGACTAATGAAAAAAATTTGCCGTAGTATTTCTTGAGAAGAAAATCACTTTGTAAAAGTATGAGTGCAATATAAAGGTAAGAGAGAAGAACAAGAAAATTATTTCTTGTTCTTCAACCCTTGAGTTGAGATTTTTGAGAAAAATTTTAGCAAAAGTTTTTCATTCAATTTGTTCGCGGGTTTCATTGATCAGAGAGTAGCAAAGATCGATTTCGGTATGGATACGCATAGAGTTTTCGCACTATCGAAATTTTTTGAAACGAGACTCTCTTCACCAGGTACGTCTTAGATCTGATCTTTGACATGTAAATAAATTTTAAACACGAAAAGATCTTCTTAGGATTTTTATTGACTTCCGATGCATGTTATAAACAGTGTTTTAAAGGCATTTTCGGGGCGAGCCCTGGGGCGAGGTGCACCAAAATTGCCCGAGGCTATGGTGGGGGGGCAAAAGTATCAAGAGGCGTACGCCCAGCACTTTGAGGCGTACGCCCGGGCGTTAAGGCGCGTTTTTGAAGTGAGGCGTAAGCCCACGAGACTTTTTTCAAATTAAAACAAATTTTGCTGAATAAGTCCTTAATATACTACCCAAATTCCCAAAATTCAGCTTGTAATTACTCTTTAAAAAGGAATTGAAACATTAAATTTAATAGTCAAGACCCTTTTTATGGCTAAAAGCCCTAATTTTTTGTCTTTCTCAATTCTTTATCTTGTCCATTTATCTGCTACTATCTCCCAAAAGCAACAAACAATCAATTTTTTTTTTTTGCTAATACAAAGAAAACTCCATTCTCCTTTATAGCAGCAAGTTCAAATTTAAAGTTTAAATTGCAGGTAAGTCATCCTTTTTATTCTTTTATGTGAAAAAATGTATTCTTTTCAACTCAAATATTGTGGTTGTAAGTAGCGGATAATAAATTATTTTAATTAATGATTTCTGGGGAGGGAAGAAATATTGTATCAATAACTTTGTTTGTTTTCTGAAAATTTTCTGAAATCTTGAACAACAATTTGATAACATAAAATTCTTTCTTCCTTAAAAAAAAAACAATTTGATAACATGATATTTAATGGGTTTAATTTTGGAAGAAACAAAGAGGGAAGTGTTGGTGGACCGGCGAATTTTCAGTAGTGGAAGAAAACTGCATTAACAGATCTGGGTTTCCTCGGTCCTCTGACTCTCACTCCCTCAATTTACGCTCCATAATGTTAGTCTTTATTTTTCTTTTTTAATATCTTTTTCGATTTGATATTTTTGTGATTCTTTGAAAATTTGGGTATTGATTGATGGTTTCTTGTTTTGTTTGCAGATATTAATGTACTGAAGAGAATTTAGACTTTCATAGAATTAATAATATCAAGCTTTTCCAATACGGAATAGATGGTACTAAGGTATTAGTCTTTTCTTGTTTTCTATAATTTGGAATTTTTTCTTTGGCTGCCTTTTGATATTTATTTATTTTATGTATTATTCAATATGAGTGTACATTTAACCTATATCCATTTTTTAAATTTTTATTAACTAATACCCAAAGTTTAAACAACTCTAGGCTTTTTTCTCCTCTTTCTTCTTCTTCTTCTTGGGACAGTGATTTTATATGATGTTTGTGAACATATTTTAAGGTACTTTATGATGTTTTATAGTGGTGAACTATTATGATGCTTTATTTTTTACTATTGCTTAGGATTTCTTCTTCTTCTTCTTTTCTTAATTGCCAAATGGGTTCGTTAGATTTATTGTTGTTTTGACAAATTGATGATTGAGGTTCGTTCTTGATGATATTTGGAGGTCATGTTTCAAATATGATCATATTTGACGTATGTTTAGGTGCTAAATCGTATATTGGATTATTAAAATTTGAAGAACAAAAAATTTTTGTTTCGAGGCAATTTGCACTTCAGACCTATTTGGCTTAAGTGCATAAAAATGTTGGTTGCACTTCAGGTGCATCTGAAGTGCATATTTTTTCATCAGAGTTTTTTGGCTTTAAGTGCATAAAAATATTGGTTGCACTTTAGGTGCATCTGAAGTGCATTTTTTCCATAAGGTTTTTTGCTTTAAGTGCATAAAAACGTTGGTGCACTTCAAGTGCATCTGAAGTGCATTTTTTTTCACTTCAGAATTTTTGGCCTCAAGTGCATGAAACTATTGATTGCACGTTTGACTTATTTGGCCTTAAGTACAGAAGTGCAATTTATTTGGGGGTTTCTTTTTTTTTTTTTTTTGTATAGGTAGATTAAATGGTATGATTAGATTACCTTATTGTTGCTATTATTTATTTATTGCGTCCTTTTCACTATTCTTGAACCGAAAGTCTATCGATTAAATTTTGCGTCAAGTAAACTTCCATTAGCACTTTTAGCTAAACAAAGTGAGTATTATATTAATCGAGGCAATCTAAGCAAACTTGCTCCAACGAATGGGGTGGCAGCTCGGCGATTATAAATAGAGGGGCCTAATTGCATGATTTTTCATTAGCATTTATACGTAAAACACTCACTTGTGCATTAAGCAAAACACTCACTTCCTCTATCTGTCATCACAACATCTAGAAAAAAAATGTCTTGGCTACCTGCTTTGTCCATGTCATTTATACAAATTGGATACGCGGGTATGAACCTGCTAACCAAAATGGCTATAAACACAGGCATGAACCCCTTCGTGCATGTGGCATATAGGCAGACATTTGCCGCACTGATAATGTGCCCTATTGCATATTTTAGTGAAAGGCATAGTAGACCTGCCATGACGAGGTCAATACTTCTAAAAATTTTAATGTGCTCGATTTTTGGGGGGTCAATTAACCAAATTACGTATATCGTTGGCCTACAAAATTGCAACACTACGGTTGCATCTGCTTTGACGAACTTAATGCCAGCATTTACGTTTGTTCTTGCTGTCATTACCGGACACAAGAAGGTCCGATTTACAAGAGTAGGGATAGCCAAAATGATGGGTACCCTATTGAGTATAGGAGGTGCGATGATGCTATCAATTTACCATGGTCCAAGAATCCCCATTGGCCAGCCAAAGATTAAGTGGAAACTCTTAGAAGGTATTGCGCACCACAGCAGCAGTGGCACCAACTACTTAGGCCCTCTGCTCGTCATTACTAGTGCCCTCTCTTGGTCGATATGGTCCATAATCCAAGCAAGAGTAAACCAAGAGTATGCAGCTACCTGTTCAAGCACAGCGTTGATGTGCTTCATGGCTAGCTGTATATGTTTGGTCTTTGGGTTCTGCTTTGACCATGACCTATCCGACTGGTCGTTGAGCGGTGGCGTGAGAGCTATCTCCACCATATATTCAGGAGTTTTCTGCTCAGCTCTATCATATTTCGTGATGAGTTGGTGCATCCAGAGGGAGGGGCCTTTTTATTGTGTCAATTTTCAACCCTTTACCGATTATCGTAGTTGCCACACTCAGCTGGCTTCTACTTGGTGAAGACATATTCACGGGAACTATAGTGGGTTCAATGTTGATCGTTTTGGGATTGTTTATGGTGTTGTGGGGAAACTGGGTGGAGTCAAAGCGAGCAAGGGCAATAATAAACTCGGAGCAAGATCTGGCTGTGAAAGATTTGGAGTCCCAGCAAGAAAAATGACACTTAGATTTTATCAACACTTTTTTTTGTTTCTGCTTCCCCTTGATGCTATTTGGAGTCTCATTTATGTTGTTTAATTAAATGTTGGTTGGTTCCCTATGGGTGGCAAAATGGTTAGAAAAAAACAATTATCCCTCGATATTATCCATTTAAAAATGGGTTGTATAATAAATTTTTTAGATACAGGGTCAAATATGGATAAGAACCATATTATTCGCTTTGAAAATGGATAACCACTAGATAACAAATGAGTTTAACTTTTACATCGGTAAAGCTTCAAATTGGGGGTTACTCAAGTTTGACACTTTTTGAGCCCTTTGGGGTAAATTCTAACTCATTCGCGATGACAACTTTCTGTGGTTTCAGCGACATTTTAAAACATATTAATTTGCAGAATTCTGTAGATTTCTGTTTTTGGGCAATTTGCACTTTACACCTATTTGGCCTTAAGTGCATAAAAACGTTAGTTGCACTTTAGGTGCATCTGAAGTGCATTTTTTTCACTTCTGACTTTTTGTCCTTAAGTGCATGAAACAATTGGCTGCACTTCAGACCTATTTAGCCTTAAGTGCACTGAAGTGCAATTAATTGGGGGGTTTCTTTTTTTTTTTTTGATAGGTAGATTAAATGCTATGGTTAGATTATTTGTTGTTGCTATTGTTTGTTTGTTGCGTCCTTGTTACTATTCTTGAGCCGAAGGTCTATCGGAAACAATTTATCTACCTTCATAAGATAGGGGTAAAGAAATAAGGAGGAAAATAAAGGTTTCATATATTGCCAAAGCCGGAAAATACCAAGGCCAACTACACCGAAAATCCTATAGATTTATGTTTATGGGCAATTTGCACTTCAGACCGATTTGACCTTAAGTGCATAGAAATGTTTGTTGCACTTTAGGTGCATCCGACGTGCATTTTTTCACTTCTGACTTTTTGGCCTTAAATGAATGAAATCATTGGCTGCACTTCAGACCTATTTAGCCTTAAGTGCATTGAAGTGCAATTTACTTGGGGGTTTCTTTTTATTTTTTATTTTTATTTGGATAGGTGGATTAAATGCGATGATTAGATTATTTGTTGTTGCTATTGTTCGTTTGTTGCGTCCTTTTTACTATTCTTGAGCCGAAGGTCTATCTGAAATAATTTATGTACCTTCATAAGATAAGGGTAAAGAAATAAGGAGGAAAATAAAGGTTTCATATATTGTCAAAGCTGAAAAATACCAAGGCCAACTACACCGAAAATCCTATAGATTTCTGTTTCTGGGCAATTTGCACTTCAGACCTATTTGGCCTTAAGTTCATAAAAATGTTGGTTGCACTTAGGTGCATCTGAAGTGCATTTTTTTCACTTCTGACTTTTTGGCCTTAAGTGAATGAAACCATTGGCTGCACTTCAGACCTATTTAGCTTTAAGTGCACTGAAGTGCAATTTATTTGGGGTTTCTTTCTTTTTTTTTTTTTTTGGATAGGTAGATTAAATGCTATGATTAGATTATTTGTTGTTGCTATTGTTTGTTTGTTGCGTCCTTTTTACTATTCTTGAGCGGAAGGTCTATCGGAAATAATTTATCTACCTTCATAGGATAGGCGTAAGGTCTGCATACACATTACCCTCCGCAGACCCCATTTATGGGAATTTTACTGAGTTTCTTGTTGTTATTATTTTTTGGGGATGGAGCACACGTACACACACACACACACACACACACACACACACACACACACACACATATATATATATATATATATATATATATATATATATATATATATATATATATATATATATATATATTACTTATTTATAGTTTCTTCAATTTTTACTTAGTTAAATATATTTACTGTAATTATATTATTTTATAAAATATTTAAAATTTAATACTCATGGGGCTTACGCCTCGCTGAGGCATATGTAAAACGCCTTTCCTTACGCCCACACCTTTTAAAACACTGATTACGAACACTTGTATACCATCCTTCGCACATATTTATTGTCACTCATTATCATCCTCTATTAAATTTGGTGTCACATAAACTTCTATTAGCACTATTAGGTAAACAAAGTGAGTATTAAAATTCAACACACTTAGAATATTTATAATAACCATAACCTATCATGTCTCAAAGCAAAGGAGACTAAATGAAAAAGTTATAACCAAGAGCTAACAGTGATGAGCACTATTCTTCTTCCTCATTCGGAAGCTTAATCCATTTCATTAAGGATTAGATGTTAAATATTGCACTGAACAAAAGTACCAGTTGCTTGCTTGGTGCTACTAGTTATTGCTAAGTAATGAAATGTTACTGAAACAGGAGGTCTTTAGAACGTTTATAAAATGTTGCCCCGTTAATCTCTCTTTACGGGTAGTGTTTTCAACATGCCAACATTGATGAACAAATTTATGCATTAAGATTTTCAAATTCAATACAGAGAAACTTAGTTCCGAACTTTGTCACACGTGTGTCTTAGAAAATCAGCTAAAGTCATTATATGATGTTTAATATAACGTTATGTTTTCAGACTTGGAAGGAATGTATCTGAAAGGTCTCATTGGCAACTTAGATAATAATTTAGCAACCTGTAATATGAATCCAAATGTACAAGAAAACAGAGAATAAAACTCCATACACCGAGTCTTTCTTCACCATATATAGCTAAAGAAAGCAAGCAATGGAGGTAGTCCAAGATAAAAATATTAGAATCAAAGCAAGGTAAGTAGCACTGATGGCAGGGGGGATTGCAGTTACAACTCTTGATAAAGTTAGTGGTCAGAATTATTAACAGTCGAACTTTAATTTTATCCAAATTCACTTCCATTAGGAAAATAAATTCCCCATGCATAGCCTAAGTCAACTCCAGTATAAATAGATGGATACTTATCATATGCGAAATCTCACTGTAAGGTGTTACGAATGCATCCTACCTCTGAAAGATTTAGCAAAGAAGATCAAGAATTTTTTCTGTATTGTATATCATTTCAAACTTTTTATATATACAAGTGAATGTGCTGAAAATAAAATGAAAACTAAAGAATATTCCCTAAACACTTGTCATAATTTTATTCCCTATCCTATAACCAAATGACCACTTTTATTCCTTTACAATGTATTTCACATGTGTGTGGGCACGTGTATATATCTTTTCAGCTATCTCATTCTTGAGCATAGTGTGCCATATCAATGGCCAAGATTAAATCCAGTTGAGGGCTAAGATGCTGCCATGTGTCTCATTATTTGAGAGACCAAATTATACATTCACCTAGATAGTTCCGAAAATCCCCAATCTTTGTCTGAAAATCAGCTCTTCTTTCCCGTCTTCTCTTTCCCTTTCTTTCTCTCATCGATTGAAGACTCAAAACCAAAGTTTTCTTCCCTCTTCTCTACATCCCCCCTCATGTTGGAGGGGAGAGAATGGACCCCCAACTTGTGCAAAATGAGATTATGTGAAGCTCCTGGTAGAGGTTTGGTAAAAAGATCGGCGAGGTGCTGGTGAGATGGGACAAAGGAAAAGGTAATTAGCCCGGAGAGATACTGTTGGCGGACAAAGTGACAATCGAGCTCAACATGCTTTGTTCGCTTGTGAAAATAGGGTTACGGGCAAAATGTATAGCTGCTTGGCTGTCAGAGTGAACCGGAATAGGAAGTGAATGTGGAGAAGACAGATCTGCGAGAAGTCGAACCAACCAGGTAATTTCTGCGGTAACTCTTCTCATAAACCTATACTCTGCTTCTGCAGAGGAAAGGGATATTGATGCTTGCTTTTTCAATTTTCAAGAAATTGGTGCTCCACCAAGCATGATAAAGAACCCACTGACGGACCTCCGAGAATCTTTGCAAGCCGCCCAGTTGGAATCACAAAAAGATATCAAATCGAATGAAGGGTCTGAAGAAAGAAAAATACCCTGTGAAGGATCTGCAGAGAGATAGCGTAGAACACACAGGCCAGCAGTGAAATGAGAAAGGCATGGCCTTTGCATAAATTGGCTGAGACAAAGCACAAACAAAGACAAATCCGGGCAAGTATTTGTGAGATAATTGAGTTTTCCCACCAAAATTCAATAAAGAGTGGGATCTGAAAGAAGAGGCCCATCATCAACACTAAGTTTGGAATAAGGATCAAGAGGTGAAGACACTGCCGAGCCAGAGAAGTCAAATTCCTTCAAAAGATCCAAGGTAAATTGCCTTTGACGAATAATAAACCCTTGTTTTTCTCGAAGAATTTCCATCCTTAGGAAATAATGAATGTCTCCTAAGTTTTTTACCTTGAATTCAGTATTGAAAAAAGCTATAATTTGGTTGTTTCCTTCAATATACTGCCTGTAAGCAAAATATCATCGACCTAAACAACTATGATAGAAAATAGGTCCCCAGATTGTTTAATGCCCTAGCAAGCCTGGCATATCACTGCCTAGAGGCTTGCTTTAAACCATACGGTGACTTTCTCAAAAGACATGCTTTAGTAGGATTAGGAGGGGATACTCCAGCAGGAAATTTTATGTAGACTTCTTCTTGCAAATCTCCATGTAAAAGGGCATTGTTCACATCAAGTTGTGACACATGCCGCCCTTTCTTCATAGCTACTGTTAAGAGACATCTAATTGTGGTCATTTTCACCACTGGAGAAAAAGTCTCTGAATAGTCAATTCCTTGTCTTTGTAGTCAATTCAAAGGTTACCACATCCCAAGTATGATTCAGCTCTAGAGCTGCAACTTCTGCCTCCATTTCCTTTCTCCAACCTGCTTCCTTACAAGCTTCATGGTAGCTTGTTGGTTTTGAAATGGTGGACACACTCTTCAGAACATTCTGATTGTTGAGTGTGAGTGCTCCAAAAGAGAAAGCAGTAGGTTTAGCTGACTGAGTGAAACAAGAGGAGTTGAGGTCAGTGAGGAATATACTATTGCATACATCATCATCTAGGTATGTTGGTCTTTGAGTAACCCTTTCAGATTTTCTGATTGTAGGTGGTGGAATGGGAAAAGTGTGAATGGGAGATGAAAT